TGTTGTTTTTGTTATTTAGTAAAGCTCTTTGGGATTCCATAGCGCCAGATCTGTTGAAAATTTGATTTTTTTTTAAACCTGGAGGATTAATTTGCCTGAGGCGAGTTTTATTTATTGATCTGAGAAAACAGTTGTAAATAGCTGATAGTTTAGACATTTCTGAACAAGTTGAATGCCACGCATTGCATCCATATGAGAGTTTACTTCTGAGGATAGTATTTAAGAACATGAAACGAGTTTTTAAGTTAATACTTTAGTTTTCCAACATATGGTGATATTAGACAGAACTACGCCAAGCCCAGCCTGTCCTATGTTCAATTTCCTTACCTCCTATACTAAATGTGTTATAACTGATCCATATACTCATTGATTTAGAGTTTATTAAAATAAATAAGTCAAAAGGTGGTATTAAAGTTAAATGTAAAGGAAACAATCTCTCTGAATACTAGAAAATATTTAAACAATAAATGGAAACGATCAAAGAAAAACTTCACTGAAGCAATAAATAAATAAATATTGATATATAAAGCAAAACCGACGAACGAACAAAAATCTGTATTTTTAAAAATTATATTGGAACACTAAAATTATCTCTGTGTAGAATCTAAATTATAATTAAACAATAATTTCCTTGTTTAAGTTTATATCTCGATCAAGATGGTAGTATGTCCTGACACTCTTAATCCAAACTGTGAAATTTCAAATTTGAAGATTAACTACTTGCTCTCAGTTTCCCCAAAGAAACACATTCGTATTAATTCACATAAATATTGTACAGATATTTTGTGTTTTATTTAATGAATTATTCTGAAATCGTTAATTTTTTTCTCCGCCTGTAGTAACCGGTGGTTATCAGTAGAAATTACGAGACAGAAAGACATCTCAATAATAAAACATTTTATCTCTATTCTAGTAGTTTAGAAATGTGAAATCATTCAGTCTCAATTGTTTTGATCGGCTGTTCTACTTTGTTCCAAATACTCTAGTAACGATTTATTACTGTAACCCATATGTTCTATAACTTTTCTCACATGGTAGAGATATTTTTTTTCAACTTTTCATTTTTTTCTTTTTCCTTCTGGAATGTTATATCTACAGACCAAACAAAAAAAAAGATTCTTCTTGTAATGATTAGATCTAGACTTCTGGCCTAGGTTAGGTGATTCAAACATTTTTGCATTTTTCTTTGAACATACAGTGTAGATATAATGAGTTTGGTTAAATCCAAGTTGTTTGCACAGTTCATATTGAATAACTATTCCCATCCAGTCATGCCTACTTTATACAATTTTTATGTCAACTTGTTGCATTCTTTAATGACTTGTGATCTCCTCCCTATATCCGCATAATATACATTTTACTAACTAGTTATTGATATTTTCGTTTTCTTTTGAAATATTCGCGCGTTTATTTTCCTTCTAATTTGGGGTTTCTTATTTTGGGGTTTTCTTGGTCCTCAGTGTGACCCCATATCTATTCTATTACAAATTATGGTTGTCATAATTAGTATTTCGTGGGGTGAAGGTAGCTTCATAATTATAGGCGAGGTGAGTTTAATTTCTAGCCAAGTGTTCAATTCGCATCAATATCCTTGAGGAAGGCATGAAGCCCTCTCTTCATCCAAAACTATAGCTTAAATAACAATCATGTTCCATTGATAGTTGCTAGTCTACAATGACTATTTGGGATCCTAATAGAGGAGAAGAAAGGAAGGAAACAATTTCAGTATAAAGATCACAGCAATTCAACATCTTAAATGAAAACGGTGTAGAGCCATGACCGTATATATCTTGAAAGAAATTTATATTAAAAATGAATCTTTTATTAGTCTGCATTGAGTAGACTTCAGAATTGTTATAATAACAATAACAACGACATCATTTGAAATAAATGTTTAAACATTTTCTACGCATTTAATCATTTATTTATGTCCTGAGCCTAATTGATATCCTGTTTATGGTGATATTTTTCAAGGATTTCAAAGAGGAACTATTTTTAACTATAGCAATTTGTAAATGCAACATTACTGATTAGCAGAGAATTTGGAAAGTGCAATGTTCTGTGCTTCATCTTCAAGCATCAGGATAGCACTTTATGTTCGACATTTTAGGTAGATACATTTTCGTCTTCCTCGAAAAAAAAATCAAGCGATGCGAGTAATTACTATGCATTGCTTTATCTCCAGTAACCCCTAAGAGCTCGCAAAAGCTAGCACATTAATCAAAATAAGGAAACATGTGATTTAACAAGAAAATAAGTAGATTTCTTAACCAAAACAAATACAATTAAAAACGCGTTTCCTTACAAGACAAAATTGTACGTTCTCTCAAAAAAACAAAAAACAAATAAGTAACCCATGAAATAATTTCAGGCTCGGTTGCTTGTACTGTATTTGACAAAATTGTTTGCTCTTTGTAATAAAGCTTTTTAAAAGATTCAACGACGAAAGAATGAACCCGACTTGGCAGTTGTGACGCGGGTTACATATATCAGTTTTGGGTGATAAATCTTTCAGGCTTTTATTAAATTTTCAGTTTTTACATTTTCTCTGCTTCTTACTTTTGAATTAGTCACTTTTTATCACTTTTCTCGCCATCTTCCTTTCCAACCAGAAAGTTGGCTTCATGAATAAAATTCTTCTTTTATTATTCTATATTTCTTACACTGATATTTATCTTGTGTAAACCATTTTAGTGTTCGTCGTCCAAAACAAAGCTGATGGTTTGATTACTGAGCTTCACAATTTCTCAGTAAATTCGAGTGTTCATTAAACCTACTTGACATTGTAAAAGAATAATTCAAATACTTATTCCACACAATAAAAATTGAAATATGAGCATTTCAAAATGTGTACACAGTTAAAAGATATAATTGTAGTTCGATGGACCATCAAGAACTTGTTAACTATAACTAAATGCTTAAGACTAAGAAAAGGGTCGTTATTCATGAGCTTGTTGAAATGTTCTTATTAATCAAATTAAGTTTTTAATGAAGATATAGTAAAGTTGTAGTTAACTACATTTATTATCAGAAAAAGTGACAATTGTTTTGTAGCTAAGACTACGTCATAACTAATATAATAAAATTGCTGCAGTCTGTTGCTGCATACTGACATTAAGATTTATTAAGTTTAAGAAAAACTAAATCGTTAAAATTTAGAGTTAGCAATAAGTAATTGACAGCGGTTTACCAGTTGAGAATTCTAATTCACTGAGTGCAATAAAATTAATTTTTATTTATCAGATAAACTAACATTTTCACTCTAAATAGATAAAAAGTTTCGACTAATTCCTTTAAAATATCTCACTTTTTTGCCTTGCTAAAGAAATGAGTAAGTTATTATTTTCAGATTTCGTCTATCAAAATGATTCTTATTCGAATTTCTGCTGGGATTACAAATTTTATTATAAATTTGTTGTTATTGTGAAATCTTTCAAATCAGTTGCATTCTCGTAAAGGCCAATGATCAAATCTAGAATTCATCATTGAAAAAATGGATTAGTTGAGAACAGACTGCCAAGTATTAAGACAATTGCTGTGGGAAAAGAGTCAAAGTCCAGTAGAATTTGGTTATCATATCGGGAAATAAAGTTTGATAAGATAGCAAAAGCCAAACAAATTTTTGTAACCAAAGAAGGGTGCTTCTCTGTCGAACATTAATAAACAAATATACTAATTCATCAGATATGATTGAATGAACCGCGAATTTTGCGCCAACTACATTTGATCCATTATATATAAGAAAAGTTTAACTTTCTCTATTATTGTCAACCCACAATCCCGCTATCAATCATTTTCTGAAAAAAACAAGCAAAATATTTCTAGCGACGGAGAAAATCTTTGCTGATTAAAGATAGACTATTGCTTTTTAACTTAAATTTGCTTTATCCTGTTTCAACAATTTGCTCCGAACATGTAGAAGTTCTAAAAGATGCATACGAAAGAAACTCATTGCGAATTTAGATACTGAATCTTATGCCATCGACAAAATTTCAAGGATTTGTTAACGTATTACAAAGCACAGGGTCGTATTGACAGATTTTTTTTCTCAAAATTTCTAGAAACTGGTCTTTTCAAAATATATTTTATCTCTAGTAAACGGTTTTAAACCTGCTTTTTTCTTAATCTTTCAACAAAGCTAATGGTGAAGTTACATGTAAACTTCTCAAAGACTCTGGCTTCCTTATTGAAGAATATGTTTTTATACACTTATTCATTGGAAGAGTATCTAATGTAGAGTAAAAGAAAAGGTACATTTGCTTTTAAATCCTCCTATAAATGGCCTAGCCCAAAATGTATCGAGTATGTTGCATAGTTTTGATTAAGTTTTTAAAATCCAAAACAATAACGAAACTTTACTAGCCTTGTTGTCATTACGCTGAACTAGTGTCTGTGTAAACGTGTGTACACAGACTTGCAGATCACGTTTCTTCAAATAACAGCAAATTATGCCACCTGTATTTTTATTATTATTAAACTGTTTAAAGTTAAAATGTGACAGTGATAAGCCGAATTAAAGATTGAGGTAAGTCTGTCTAAATAAACAATGTGTAACTCTAACAGGCGTACAAATATATAGATGATCATGGCAGTAGATTTGAATGGTAAAAGTTAGAGAAAGAGCGGGAAAGAAAGGAGGTACAAGAAAATGCCCAAAAGAAGAAGAGCTCAATACTGGGAAAAATTGAAAGACGGTAAGAATAAAAAGATAATAGGAGGGATTATAAATGAAAACATAGTAAAAAGTAGAAAGAGGATAAAAATAATGAAATAGAAAATGTGGTAAAAATAGAAACTGAAATGGAAGCAAGCAATAATAAAAAGTAAATCTGTAAAAAAGATACAGAAAAATCTGTAAAAGGATACAGAAAAATAACACTGAACGAACGAATAGCATGGATGTAAATAAGAAAGGAACATTTTGAAAAGCAGACAGAAAAAAAAGTCGAGAAATTAATCAGAAAGATAAAGAATGTGAAATGTGCGAATATGAGAGAATATCACAGAAAGACGGAGAGCGAAAAGAGAACAAAATGAAAAAAAAAAAAGAGACGCGCCTGGCAGAAAGTGGAAATGGAGCCATAATCAAGATGACCTCCGCGTAAACATAACCATCCGTTTTGATTCTTGTGTTTCAATTGAGCTATTTTTCGCTGGCTTATAAATGAGAAATATGAAACATCTCCAAGTTTTATTGAGAAGTGCCGCGTTTATCCCGCCGCTGAAGATCCCTTTATTCGACGGCTAAATAGATGCAGCCGAAACTAATGGGGTGATTGGCAGTAAACTATCCACACAAATGATCAGAGGTGTTCACCTCGGTTGAAAAGAGGGTGGTTCGTTTAGGTATATATCAATACCAGGAAAATGGACGAAGTATTTGGTTGGGAGGAGTGAGAGAAGGAATAGCGAGAAGAAAAAAAAAAGATGCAACGATGAAAGAAGGGAAAAAATTCTTGTTGGTAAAAGGAGGAGAAACAGAAACGAGTCAATATATGGTAAATAAAGAAAATTTGATTGGAGTGTTTAGAAAACGGGGAAAAATAGAATGGAAATAAAGCAGAATAAAAGGTAAGAGAAAAACAAAGGGCTACTGTAGAAAAGAAAAGATTGAAGGAAGGGATAAAAAGATAGAGATGAAATAAATAGAGAATGAAAGATGGGAATAGAAAACCAAAAGGAATATCAAGTATATGACGAAGAAAGAAATTGAGAAGAGAGAAACATTCAATAAAAAGCAAGACGACATAGAACTCCAAAATATAAAAGTAACAAAAAAAAAGAAAGAAAGGAAAAATTAAAGAAAATAAAAATAAAAAGATTTGAAAAAAAAAAAGGAAAATATAACAGATTAAAAAAAAAAAAGACGAACAAATAATTAAACAAAATGGAATGCTACAAATAAAAAAAGCAAAGAAGTTGTGAATAAATATTTAATTAAATGCAAGATATACTGGAAAGTAAATTTAAAGAAATTCAAGCAGTACTGAAGAGAAATTCCAACGTCCACAAAAGAGCATATTATGAAAATATAAAAGGAATATCCGAACTAAAAAAAGAAAGAAGTATATGAAAAAAAAAGAAATACGTGAGTTGATTGGAAAGTTCATAATCTGGCCAAGATATAAATGTAAGTAGACAAAGCAGTTTGTTGACTAGAAGACATGCAAGTTGTATCAGAACACAACAGCTGAACGACCGGCTGTTGTATTCTGGTACACTTGCGTACCTTCCCAGTCGACCCTTGTAAAAATAATGACTGGTGAAAAGGGAGGAAATTATAAGAAAAAAATAAATGAATAAATTAATCTAAGAGGAAGAAGAACGAGAAAATGAAAAAGCAAACAAATTGGACGTTATAAGGTTAAGTGATAAATCAAGACAATATGCTGTGAAACCGTATCTATCATCACACAGAAATATGCGTGTGCGCCCCCCCACACATATATACACACATACACATACATATATATATATATATATATATACACATACACACACATATATGCACACACATATACGCACACACCCCCATATCTATGTATCTCTGTGTGTGTGCGCTAGCATGTATGCATAAATATTTATTTTCGTGTGTCCGTGTGTATTTGCTCTATTGATGTCGGTCATGCTTTCTATGAATAACTACTGAGCAATAATATTTATTAAATATTTATTAAATCCATTCAATCGGTTGGTCAATAAGTCTGTAGCCTAGTGATAAAAATGCATTACTGCTACACAACAAATATTTATTTTCAACATAATCTCATTTCTTGTCAACGCACTTTACTTTGATAACATATATCGGACATTATATAGTGAAAATTTCAGATAAAAATTCAGCTAAAAAAACAATGTCAAGCCACGGACATATTAATCCTCCTTCTGATTATATATATATATATATATATATATATATATATATATATATATATATATATATATATATATATATATATATTTTGTGTGTGTATGTATGTGTGTTTATGTGTGCGTGTGTGTATGTGTATAAATATTTTTTTTCGTGTCTCCGTTTATTTAGGAAAGAATCACGCGAATGACCTGAAAAGTTTACCTTCATGATGAAGAGGTGAATAGATCGACAAAGCCGACTGCCAAGATTTGCACGTCTGCGAGTTGAAACGGAAAGCAGACTGATAAATTACTGTCCACCTTGGCTTACGCACTGTACCTTTTCAGATAGACCACAACAATATAGACGGGCATAAACACTACATGAACTTCGAGCAGATCCAAGTAAGAAGTGAACAACATTGAGAGAAAATCCTTGGTGGATGGAAGAGACTTCAAATTATCCAAATGCACATCTAATTAAAAAAAAAGACAACAACAACAACAAGCATACTAACAATAAATAATTAAATAAATAAATAAAAATAAAATAAAACAAATAAAATAAACAAATTTCTGTCTGAACTTCTTGGATGGGGAGTTATCATTATTTGCACTATTTATATATGGGCTATTTCCCTCATCTTTATTATTGTTTAAATCATTCTGCTCTCCGGCAGTCATCAGGTGCATATCGATTTGTGTAACCTACAATGCATTCTGTACTGGATCTTTTATTTAATCTACGTGGGTAGGCTGTTCTCATTCCCTTCCTGAGTCAATCTCGGGGCAGGGCAGTTTGTACTTGGACGCTCGGTGGAAACGAGCTAACCTGGGCAGTAGAACGAGGACAGTCAATCACAGATAGTGAGAGTGAAAAAGAAAGAGAGAGAATAAAATAGAGAATAAAATAGAATGAGAGAGAGAAGACGAAGAATACACACACACACACACACACACACACACACACACACACACACACACACACACACACACACACACACATAGAGAGAGAGAGAGAGAGAGATTGGAGATGGGAGTCATCGTGCAGTGACTGATTAAATGATGTTTTGTGACCTAACGATCTGTTGAGGACAAGTTCGCTCCTGAACTGCAAATGAGGTTTTGAAATAAATTTTTTCTTTTTTTAAATCTTAAACTACAAAACCTCCTACAGAAGGTAGCGTGAGTGAGCGAGAAGAAAGGGAACTACAAGACAGAATGCATGGCCATCAGTAAAAGAGTGATTTAACCAAACTCATTATATCTACACTGTATGTTCAAAGAAAAATGCAAAAATGTTTGAATCACCTAACCTAGGCCAGAAGTCTAGATCTAATCATTACAAGAAGAATCTTTTTTTTTAGTTTGGTCTGTAGATATAATATTCCAGAAGGAAAAAGAAAAAAATGAAAAGTTGAAAAAAAATATCTCTACCATGTGAGAAAAGTTATAGAACATATGGGTTACAGTAATAAATCGTTACTAGAGTATTTGGAACAAAGTAGAACAGCCGATCAAAACAATTGAGACTGAATGATTTCACATTTCTAAACTACTAGAATAGAGATAAAATGTTTTATTATTGAGATGTCTTTCTGTCTCGTAATTTCTACTGATAACCACCGGTTACTACAGGCGGAGAAAAAAATTAACGATTTCAGAATAATTCATTAAATAAAACACAAAATATCTGTACAATATTTATGTGAATTAATACGAATGTGTTTCTTTGGGAAACTGAGAGCAAGTAGTTAATCTTCAAATTTGAAATTTCACAGTTTGGATTAAGAGTGTCAGGACATACTACCATCTTGATCGAGATATAAACTTAAACAAGGAAATTATTGTTTAATTATAATTTAGATTCTACACAGAGATAATTTTAGTGTTCCAATATAATTTTTATAAAATACAGATTTTTGTTCGTTCGTCGGTTTTGCTTTATATATCAATATTTATTTATTTATTGCTTCAGTGAAGTTTTTCTTTGATCATTTCCATTTATTGTTTAAATATTTTCTAGTATTCAGAGTAATTGTTTCCTTTACATTTAACTTTAATACCACCTTTTGACTTATTTATTTTAATAAACTCTAAATCAATGAGTATATGGATCAGTTATAACACATTTAGTATAGGAGGTAAGGAAATTGAACATAGGACAGGCTGGGCTTGGTGTAGTTCTGTCTAACATCACCATATGCTGGAAAACTAAAGTATTAACTTAAAAACTCGTTTCATGTTCTTAAATACTATCCTCAGAAGTAAACTCTCATATGGATGCAATGCGTGGCATTCAACTTGTTCAGAAATGTCTAAACTATCAGCTATTTACAACTGTTTTCTCAGATCAATAAATAAAACTTACCTCAAGCAAATTAATCCTCCAGGTGTTAAAAAAAAATTTTTTTCAACAGATCTGGCGCTATGGAATCCCAAAGAGCTTTACCAAATAACAAAAACTACATCACTTGAAGACTTCAAACAGCAATAACAACTAAAGTAGATAGCATGTGTAACTAGAAGGAAAATAATTATATAATCAATGCGATTTTCAGGTCGGTGACACTAAAATCAAACATGTACGGAAGTTTAATTATCTGGGAAGTGTTCTGACGGAGGACGGTAGGTGTGACGTTGAGATCCGAAAACGGATTGGGATGGAAAAGGATGCCTTCCAGAAGCCGGGTAGAGTATTGCCAAACAGGAGGATTTCTATGGTGACAAAGAAAAGAGTACTGAGCTGCTACTTGACATCTGTCTTCCAATACGATAGCGAATGTTGGACGGTAGGCTCAAGGATGAAGAAGAGACTTGAGGTAGCGGTGATGTGGTTCTCTAGAAGAATGTTGAGTATATCATGGACCGAGCACGTGAGCAACGATGAGGTCTTGGAGTGGTTGCAAACAAAGAGGAAATTTATCCTTAACATAAAGAAGAGGCAGATGAAATTTCTGGGAGACGTGATGAGAAAGGAGGGCCTGGGGAATCTGATACTCATGGGATAAATAGAGGGAAAAGAGACAGGTGAAAGCAGTTCTCAAAGTTCTCTACCGCCTATTAATTTCCCTCTCCAAGTTTTCCACCAGGTATTGAACTCACACTATTTGGGTCCTGTCACATTTGGATCTAACTAACGCTTTTATCCACTGCGCCAAATGTCCATCTGTGTGAATTTCAGGGTATTATAAACCTAATGTCTTCAGCAACTATTTTTACCAGCGCTCATATTGCAATTTTTGCTGTTATCTTTGCATGTTTTTAACAGAGTTCATATTGCAATTTTTGTTGTTATTATTGCTTTTCTCTGGCACTCCTTCTTACCACCAGGAAAATATTCAGGTTTAGGCGTTAGTTACATTCAGTGACAGGACCCAAAGAGTGTGAGTTCAATACCTGGTGGAAAACTTGGAGAGGGAAATTAATAGGCTATAACTGATAACTGACATCCAATTGACATAACACGTGGAACTAGATTAGTCTACCCCAGTGAGCGAAATAAAGGGTTCAGTTCGACATTCCAACCACCTGAAGAAGGTCGGAGAGTACAACGCAACGTTGTAATAAATATGGCGATAAAGATGAGGACAATAGTTCGAATAATGTAAATAGTGTACACAATACCTCATATACCTATATATATATATATATATATATATATATGTGTGTGTGTGTGTGTGTGTGTGTGTGTGTGTGTGTCTGTGTCTGTGTGTCTGTGTAAAAAATTCAATAATAATAAAACATCAAATAATATATATTTGCTTGTAAAAATCCCATATGAAATATTTCATACTATATGGCAAAAATTCACTATGGAATTTCCATGAATTCTATTTTTGCAAAGAACTTGGATTTTATTCTGACAAAAAAGTAAGATCATACTCAAATTTAGCTATGTCTATTTGATGAAAGTGATTTTTCTATATTTTCTTTTCTTTTAATTTGATTTAGAAGTGAGTTTTTTTTTCTTCAATCACTTGATAAGATTTCATTCTGGAAAGAATCGAAACTTATCCCTCTTCCTGCGGACAAGTCAGAAAGTCTCCTCTGCCTAGAATATCATGCGATCTGCACTGTCTCATATTTCTTGGAGGGATGATAGGTACTGTCAACTGTTCTTGCTCTGGAAATGGTTAGCGAATGGTTTAATAGAGTATAGGGCAAACTAACCAAACAACCAAAAGTATAAAGTAACTCTTTTAACTCGCCCACATTATCTTTTTCTGCATCCTGAACTAAGTGATCCAACATCTGAAGTCAAATGATCACGTATCACGTGGATTAGATTACCTCCTACCACCAATATTAACCACTTCTTCAAAGGGTTTGAGCCTCCAACAGAATGATAGCTTTCAAAAGGATGAAGAGCGAAAATGAGTAGGAAAATTGCATTTTTGTTTATGTGAAATTGTGGCATGTACACTGTTCGGTAGATTAAAAGCTGCCAGAAGCAATCATCACATCGTATTTGCTTTGTGTAAATAATGAAAAAGTGAGTTGAGCTGCACCGTCTACTGAAGATTGAAATGCGATAGTAATCAATGAAATAGCAGAACAATATTGATTTTGCACCAAATGATATTATAAAACGATTGAACTTTGTCTTGCCAAGAGGAAGATCGGTGTTTCTGCCAAGGGTTGGTGGACTAATGGATCACTTCATGACGAGGTTCAGATCCCGCTGCTAGCTATTTTCTCGGTTCATTGGTTTAGATAATTCAATGCGCATTATACAATTTACCGAAGCAATTGTTTTGCAACACTGCACGTTCAAATATTCTCAATAATTATTTCTCTTTTCGGGATTTAAACTGATTTACAAGTTTAAATAGTTTCAACGCGTCATACTTCATGTTAAACGATGAAGAGTAGAATAGCACGAGAATAACACGAGAGAAAGTTACATTTTCTATGCTTAATTTACTTATATAGAAGGATATAAGATGGATGAAACTGTTTGGCATAGAAATAAAAGAACGCGGGAGTAGGAAAAGGAGCCATTCTAGTTCTAAATTTATTTTTACTTTTACAAAAGTTTCACTGAATTCTTTGTACACAAAACGCACATTACACAATGTGCGTGGGTGCACAGACATATAGTAAGGCTTTAAACCTTCAAAATATTTCGTAAATATATTAGCAGAATTATTTTACTTTAATAAAATACGTGTGAGAATGAAGTCATGATAACGAAATAAAAGAAAGTGGCAAAATGGCAAATTAGCGGAAAATAAAATATAGTCATGGAAGAAAGAACGAGTGGGATGAAATGCAAAGTGTTATCGAAAGAAGGAGAAATTGCAAAAAATTAATAATTAAATGAAGAATATACAAAAAATATGAAAGTAAAAGGGATGAAAATAAAAATTGAAAATACAATAAAAACGACAAGGGTCAAAATAAAAACACAAAAAGCAAAGGAAATAAAGTACAGAAATAGGAAAAAGAGAAAACAGTGAAGAAAAAAAAAGAAGAAATTAATAGATAAAAATAAGTATAACGAAAACAAAAGATGAGCGTATCAATGTGTGAGAATAAACGAGGAAGAGACTGGAATGCTAGCAATGATAAACTGAAAGAAAATCTGAAGTAAGAAAGATTTCGCAGTTAAAAGAATCAAAGGTAAAACGGTAATACTATTTCTTTAAGCATTTAAAAAGAATCAGAAAATCAGAAAGAAAGCAGGAAAGGTGAAATAAAAGAAAAAAGTCATGGGTGATTGACAAAAAAAATGAAAATAGCAAAAGAAATCATGTTATATAGAAATTAAGACAGTTGCAAACACCAGACTTTAGAAATGATTAAAATGGGTAGTAAATGACTGAAAGAAAAAAAGGTCAGTTGAAACGAAGGATGAAGGTGAAATACAGAAATAAAGATGAGAAAAGAAAACTTAATCGACCTTTCAAAATTTGTACGAAAGTTAAAATGTGGAAAATATTCATAATGTTTAGAGAAAGATTTTGTTGATTTCTTTCTAAGAAAGGTCTTGTCATACTGCAAATTAATAGGAATATTTCTGAACATCTTATTTAAATAGGAACACAAAACTGTCCTAAAAATGGTATGCCTGATTATACATTTTCTATTGTACTAGAGATCGTAGGTTAATAACTACAGCAAGAGTAAGGCGCCACCACAGGTACTTCACCGCTAAGATGTAGTCTGCACAGAGATTAGAGCCGGCTTTTAGTCAAGAGATTAAGCTTAGCGGGATTAAAGAGTGGAGTAGTAGCAGACTGATTGAAGTTACATTTTTTAAACCTTTGAAAGTAAACGAATTGACTTTCGTTGAAAGTTTTCTCTCAATCATTTCTTGTATTTTTCTAGCGGTCATTTTAATATTGAAAGAATAATGACAATTTTTCTCCCTTTTTATACGGAATTTCTCGTAATAAATCAGCAAATGAAAAAGGTTTATGCGTTTTATGGCAGTAAAATTATAATGATATCTATAGTGCTAATGAAACTTGTTTGCAGACATCAATACAATCGATTTTTCTGAATTGTTTAGTGCAACTATTACTTCTGTAAATTCTAAATTCCGACTAGAAAGGATATAAAGAAGCCAGAATGAAGGAAGACTAAGCAAAAGCTGAACTGAACTTATAAATTTTGCTGTATAATAACACTAAATGCATTCAGTAGAAATCCTAATCTAGTCAATTACCCGAGGCTGTGTAATTAGCAAGTCGAGCAAACCATTACTGCAGTTATGATTTTGATACTCCCTTACTGTCCTACACTTGTAGCCTTGAGCCATAGTTTGCTATGAAGTATAAAAAGACCATTCGTGTGGTGCAATGATTTATAACTTATTTGGCTCAGTTTAATAAATATCAAATATTTACAGAAACGAACGAGGAGTTTACATGAAATCTTCAACAAGACATTTGTACACTGTAAAGTTTATACGTTCATAGTATACAAACGTGAAGATATGTCAAATTGATTGGCGTTGGGACTACACAAAAAGAGAATTACTTCCAAAGTGCATTAATGCATTCGTAACGACCATTTGAACAGGGGAATTTAATATTTTCATGAATTTACTGGTGTTAACGGATTGTAGTTTCAATCTAAATATCGAATTAGTCAAGTTTTTTTGCTATCTTTTGTCTGAACAGTGATGGAAACATTTTAATTTCAAAGAAGCCTTGATTTAGATATTTAAAATCTTTGTTGCTGAAATATAAACCTACAGATAGCATTTTTGCTAGTATATATAATGAAACTTTTAGCTTTATTCTGTGATCGCTAAATAGCAATGTCCTCGTCCATTGTGGCATGGCAAGCGTAAAAGGATAACATTTCTTTACTATCCCATAATATATTCATAATGGACTGAGAAAAAGCTCCTCAAACGCGCCACTGCTCTTCTTCCATCTCTATTGCTCTTGCTTACTTTTTCTTGTTCCTCAGCTCAGTTTCCGCCTTTTATGTTTGTTCACATTCCCTCCACCACTTACCTAGAGAGCTTTTTCTCTTGATAGTCACTCAAGTGAAAATATAAATAAAAAATAAATGCAATTAAACTTCCGTAGCATATGCGCGTTTCTCCCTCAATACGTGATTCAATATTTATGATAACTGTCCTGCGGGTATTTTGTTGAGTGCTGCGGCTTTTCTGGCAAGTACGGCAATTTAAGATTCGAGAATTTTCTAAGACTTGTAATATTTGCTGTATTTACAAATCAGAACATTTCGATCGATAATTCTTCAATCAAGTGGAAGTTGTATGTACCTTGAATTCAATCGGTGAATATCTGAGAGATATCAAATTTAAAATCTTTGTATTATTTCTCTATTTTTTTTAAAAAAAAGTATTTTTGATGGGTGAGGTTTACACGGAACAAAATAAACATGATTCAAGTTTCAGCTCGTATTTCAGAAGACGGAGGCAAATAAAGATATAGATATGAAATTTATTTGATAACTGATTCTCTCGAGGCATTTAAGCACTCTTTAAGTGAATGTCGAACTTTTTTCAGCTTTTCTTTTTCTTATAAACAAATAGTAAAAAGATGAATAATATTTCAATAGTACTTTCTCTAACATGGTTTCAATTTGAAGCCTGAAAAATAAAAACACTTGGAATTTCTGTTTTCTTAATGCCACTTAATCTCTCAAGACAATCATTAATTATAATTATTATGAGTTTCATGGGAGGAAAAATTGCAATGAACAAACATAAAATCATTTAGTCCTGAATAGTATTATAACATTATTATTCACCCGGGCACTGGAGATCCTGATGCTCTTCTAAGTACTATTTAAAATAGTGTGCCAGAAAGAAAATTTGAGAAATTTAATTTGAGGTGATCATGTCTTTACTTTCCTTAACGTAAACGTATAGAACTAGACTAAAATATCCGTGTCTTATATATTGAAATAACATATGTTAAAATACATATCCCTAAATATTCTCTTCTCAAAATTTGGCCAAATGACCAAGCATGAGATTTCTTTTGAAAGAGCTGGAGCTGTTTAATCAAATTAAATTTCAACGATGTTTATTTTTAGAAGTAAAGTAATTCCGATTTGAAATAAATTCCGATTTTTTTTTTATTAAATGTCTATTTCTTTTAACTAATACTAATATCTTCTATTAACCTTTTTTCTTTGTTTTAGACTAATAAACTTATAGGATCGATATTTATGCAACAACATCTTATAAACACGAAATTGTTGAATTGAAATATAAACTGAAGTACCACAAAATTAGAGGCATCTACTTAATAGTATGTAACTCCTGTTTTAGTTTGAACTGTGGCGGTGTCGCAACGTAGTATGGAGTGCATAGGTACTGGAACTGTGCCATGGTTATATCTATGCAGATACACATAGCAAAACTTTCCATAAATGAGTTGTGTTAGGTATGACAGCAGGTGATCTACTAACGTCTGCAACTTGTCTCATATATTCTCAGTATAAATGCAACTCTCATGAGCACAAGGGATAGTGGAATACCTGGAAACCAGCCATGTTTCGTGTCACACGCGTATTTTGAAAGGGTATCTTTATTTGCTGGAACGAAACATGACCACCTTAGTAACATGGTGAGCATAGAAGGGTGAAATTATTTTCAGGAATACCTGTGTATGTCTCACCTGTCAAGACCCACTCCATTTTCATAAGTTGTTTCCGCGAATTCGCACTATACCATTATAAAACTAGTACACAACTTTTACTAACACGCGGACTGCTTCATGCACTCACCCCCGGAAGAACTCGCCCATCCGATCCAGAGAGCTGGAAATTGACTCATCTGACCGAGATATATGTTGTCAGTCTCCGTGATCCAGTAACAGTGGTAGACTTTTATTAGTATAACTTTAAATCAAACTTAACACGCTTAGTTTAAAAGGCTGAATAGACATTTAATTGCCACGAATTTATATGTGCCATTAATATTAACCTAAAATTTTCCGTGGTTAGTTTTCTTCTGTTGGCATCAATATCATAACTCAAATACTGAAAACAAGTTGTCCCATTTAGATAAGTATTTGGGAATACGAAAATGTGTGAGGAAGATACAAAGAGTGAGTGAGTGAGTGAAAGAGAGTGAGAGAGAGAGAGAAAGGGATAGAGAGTGAGTGAGAGAGTGGGAAGAAGAGAGCCGAAGAATTGGCGCCAGTCAATAGAATACGATAAGAAAGAAGCATTGGAGTTGGTAAACGCACGTTTGGCTCGCCTCAGTTGCCTTTTCCAGGGCTTTTTTCTAAAGTTATTCACATTTAAGTCTCTTGGTATCAGTGACTCAAGCTGCCATTGAGAATTTATTGGCATGAATTCACCAACCCATATGCCAGTACGTGTTTTTGATTCTATAAATTGAGACTCAAACAGAACCATATTTTGTGTGTGTCTGTGTGCGCGTGTATATATATATATATATATATATATATATATATATAATCACACACGCACACACACATATATAATCGCGCATATATGTGTGTGTGTGTGTGTGTGTGTGTGTGTGTGTGTGTGTGTGAAACTGCACACATATAGACAACATAAAACGTACACATACGTACACATATTCGTCTAATTTTGATCTAAATATGCATACAAACGTCAGACGGCTGTTCCCGCTAACCGTTGCGTATGTATATATATATATATATATATATATATATATATATATATATATATATATATATATATATATAAACAAGTTTCCACAGATTCTGCGTGTTGAATATATTTCGACTTTTCGAATAATATTTTGTTCACTGGGAATAAAATTTTGGATGAACTATCGAAAATTCAGATTTTGCTGTGTTTCGGTCTGTGTGGTAGTCCAAAATTTAAAATATCTTTGACAACAGGATACTGTATCTTTACGTGTAACATGTAATCTGCGTATGAAATAATAATAATAATGCTAATGCGCATATATTTGTTTAGATTTTTTTTTCCGTTGCTGTCTTGGTCTATGTCTATGTGATAGAATTTTGCAATAATTCAAATTCTAGCACTTTAAATAAACACAAGGATGTAGCCTACAAAATATTGTCTACCATACTGACACCAGTAAGTTTTTGATGACTGAATTGTTTGAAATCACGTGAACAAAAACAGAACAAAGCAAAAATTTCGAAACTTTTATCCGCAAGTTTAATTTCGATGTACAAAATCTTATTCGGCGATTTGAAAAAAGACAATAACAATAGCAAACGGTAACAGTTGAATTTAACAAATGTGGTTTTCATGAAACATAGCTGCTTAATATTCCATTAAATTTATTATGCTTTCTTTCAAAGGACCCCCCCTCTCTCTCTCTCTCTCTCTCTATCTATCTATCTATCTATCTATCTATATATATATATATATATATATATATATATATATTCTTCAACCATTAGTGTACGGGATACCCGTATTTAAAATAGAGAGCACATTTTCTTTATTGAGATTTCACGACTGCATCGGTTGATAAGCGAAATACACATTGGTTAAATGAAAATAAAATGTATATCCATTATATATATATATATATATATATATATATATATATATATATATATATATATATATATATATATAACTATATCCATATATATATATATATATATATATATATTTATATGTATAAAAACTACTAAGACGTATCACTTTATTAGTTGAACTATGTACTTAATTCATGTCATGTTAACTGAAAAACACTTACAACAAAAGAATTCCTGGATTTACCAAATTACAAAATTCATATAAAAATTCTCACTTGAACTATTTGAACTTTAGCGTTGTGACTTGCATGTTCCAATATTATATAACCGTTAATAAATAACACATTCTTAAAAAAACATCTTTCAGTCTACAACACATTTATTTCATCTTCAAGTTTTGATTTTAAAGGAAAAAAAAACAGCCTGACGATGAGGACATGAAGTCCTTGAAAGTACTTGCTTCTATAAAAATACACTAGATCTATCTGACAACAGTTTTATACATAAGGATCGCATCATCTAGTGGATTGTTAATAGTTTAATGCTTATATTAAGTCTACTAGCGAAGAGATGACATTAATCGCATTAATATTGCTGATTTTTTCAATGTATGATTATTTCTTTATAATATATATATATATATATATATATCCGTATAAAATTTTTATATATGTACATCTCAAATAGACGTCATTATGTCAAATGTTAGAAAAATGTCGATTCGTATAAGAAGATATGGAAGCATTTGTATATTTGTTATTCATTTTTCTTGCTTGTGATTCCTCTACAAGTATCGTCCAAGTTAAAAAAAAATCGTGTCGTTCTTTTTTTTTACTCGTGTCTTAACTTTGGCAAAACTTAAAGGAATTCAATTCTGATTTCATTTTTCCTAATGTCAAAGTGCAACCTTTCGTTATTTTCAGTTTGATATCAGGTGTTCAGGCATTATTTGCTTCTGCTATCATATGGACTAAGTTTTTCGTTAACTTTTCCAACATTTGCCTTTATTTGTCTCATCCATGTCAATTTTGTGTTAACATTATTTACATTGCTGCCTATGAAAAACATAGAAAACATTCTATACCAGTCGACAGATGGAATGTTCTTTGTGTAAACTGTGGTGGTGCACAAGTTTTATTTGTTAATTCTGTACTCCACACAGCCATATGAGATATATTTGAATCTGAACTTTTATTTTGTTTATAACACATTTAAAAATAAATATCTTTTATTTTTTCCGAATAAACCTGATTAATCTACAAGAATTATATAATTAAATATTCATAATAAGAGATAAATTTAATAAATACAAACTCCAATGTTTATGCACATAAGAAGTACATAAACCATATAGATATATGACATTTATATGACAATTGCTATGGCCCTTTAATTATATATATATAGGCAAAGGGGTTAGGCAAAATAATGTGATCAGCTTGCAAAAATAGCAATGTTTTCAATTCCGGCATTTCCGGGTATTTGTAAACATCAAACCGACATAAAAGGTAACTGCTCAGCATTTTAATCCTTTACCTTGCATTTCCATTTAATTAAGACATTATTTATCTTCAGGTAAAAGAGTTACATACTAAAATGCGTGACCTGTCGAATTTTCAAAGAGGACAAATAGTTGATGCTCAATTAGCCGGAGCATCTGTGACCAAAAACGTCTGAAATATTGACTGTGTCACGAGTTGTAGTGTCCACGGATATGACAGCTTCCACAAAACAGGGCAAAATATCATCAGCAAAGAGTAAAAACTGCCCGAAAGAGACCGATGAGCTTTAAAACGAATTGTGACAAAAGAAATCATAAAACTACTGCAGCAAAAGTGACATCAGAACTCTTTACTCACCTGATCAATACTGTTTCTACAAGGACAGTACGTCGGGAGTTCCATAAAAATGGTAACCACAGAAAGGCTGCGATTCCTAAAACTCTTATCACAAAGTCGAAAGCCAAGTTGCAAAAAAAAAAAAAAATGATGTGATGATCACAAAAATTGAACACCCGAGGAATGGAATAACGTTATTTGGTCTAATGAGTTTTCTTTTCATGTTATTTCCTACAAACGGTTGTGTTTATGTCTGGAGAATACCGCCGCCTGAAGCCTATGATCCGGATTACATAGTCTCGACAGGCCAACATGACGGTTGCTCAGTAAAGATTTGGGAAGCAATTTCCTGGTATTCTTCTGTTCCTATCATCAGTCTTAATGGCAGAATTACTGAAGATAAATGTATCGACATTCTCAACGAACATTCCCTTACAATGGCTACCATAGTGTTGCCAGAAAGTACCATATTCCAAGATGATAATGCACCCATACACACTGCAAAACAAGTGAAGTCATGATTTGATGAGCATCATAACGTAATTATACATCTTCCATGGCCAGCACAATCACCTAATCTCAAAATAATTAAACGGTTACGAGCAGTTCTAGAGCAGAGAGTAAGGAACAGAACCCCATTCCCATCGTCGGGGAAGCAACTTTCCGAGATTATGGGATTCAACTGAAAACAGTTCAAAACGTATTTGATTCCATTCCACGTAGAATCAAAGCAATTTTAGAAGTTAATGGAGGTCCAATACCATATTATTTAATAAATCTATGTTTAAACTCGGTGTTCAATTTATTTTGTCTAAACCTATATATACATATATATATATATATATATATATATATATATATATATATATATATATATATATATATATATATATATATATATATATATAATAACTGTTTAAATTTAGTTGTTTTCATAAAGGAAGCATGTTCAATGTGTACATAAAATTAACGCTGCATAGTGACTGTCAGTTTCAATGCAATTTACAAAGCAAGACAAAACTGGTAGTGAGTTTGATTTCTATGTCCAATCTCTCTATCTGTTTCTGTCTGCCTGTCTCTTTTCGATATATATATATATATATATATATATATATATATATATATATATATATATATATATATATACTAGTAGAGAATACTTAGTCTACAGACTGACAAAGTTTAATTTTGTTCTGACGATTTCCCCCTTCAATGTTCGAATCGAACGATTAATATAGACGTGTTGCGTTAAGTGCATTGACACAGTAATAGCTTATATTAAAATAAATATCAGTTATGTAAAATAAATATTGTTTAAATTTCTAGATCCCGGACTTATTGATGTACCTATGTATGTGCCTACTTTCATAATACGACTATAATCACATAAACATTTAAAGTACGCGCGCACGCACACACTTACACCCAAAAACGTTCAATTCATCTCTATACACAAAACTACGAAGGAAAAACTGTTATAATGCAATCTTTAGCAATCACATAATTTTTGAAGATCACTCGTGAAATGACTTCTGACCTTACTGTGTGTTCGCACCTTTATTATTCCGGATTCTTCACGGTAGGATAATGTAAATAGCCATATGTACACGATATTCTTCAATATGAGTATAATAACATTTATAGTCATTTACATAAGTTGACATTTTATACTTATGTACATATGCAGATATGACATCTGTATATTATTTACAGTCTAATCCCCATCTTACAGGCCCGTCTTCATCTCTACAAAATGAGTGCAGGCACACAGACACATCTTAATATTTGTGCAAAGTACATACGCAGATGAACCTTCTCAATTATACATACATGTATTTAATTTCCATTATCTATATATCAATATAGATATTA